TCAGATCTGTCGCTTTGAGACACCTGATTTACGGTCGCATTTCACTGCCTAAAGAGTCGCTACGTGGTTAGGGGAGAGACACACAGCAGCACTCGCTGAATATTAACCGGCAGCCATTTTGGTGTTTAAGTAAAAGTTAGGAGACGGGTTGGTTAAAAAAAATTAGAGATCACACCATCGAAAAATCTGTTTGTTAGACATATGGAGTTTTTTTTAGCTAAAAATTGCATTTATAGAAGTTAGTATTATAATACAAGAAGCTTGAAAAAACATAGTTTGTTCATCTTTACTACCGTTGTTAAAAAAAGCTTGAATTCTCAGAGGACCAAGGTTCCCAGTTACAGGTTCAAATGTTTTCTTATTGTGCAGACAGAATCAGACTACAGAGCTTCTACACATCTTGAAATTTTGCTTCTTTTTTAGTCAAAATCTTTATTGATAATTTCACATTATAACAAATGTGAAGTGCTGAATAATCACAGCAGAGACAAGTGGTGGATACATGTAAATCACACCATGCACAAATGAAATGTATCAAATAAACAGGAAACAACAAAATGAACATTAAAAAAAGATAAAAATAAAGAAATAAAAGAAAGGGAAGAAAGGAAATTGAACAGTGTACCATGTCACTGCCAGGTTACAAGTCAAAAAAAAATAATAATCCCTGTTAGACCAAAACCTCAGAGTGTGTAATAAACGTGCAGCATGGCTCAGCTGTATTCAAGGGAAAAACCTTTAAAGGGTCTGGAATTCTTTTAAAATTTTATTTCTGGTGTCAATATATTAGGAAAGAGGTTTATAAATATTTTTTAACAGAGAGGAGCAGGGAGAGCTGCAGGTTTAAAGGTGAAACAGATTTATTGGGATATGCAACACGCAATAAAATATATCTCCAAGTTTACGGAAAGTTAACAAGAAAAAAAAAATGCTATTCATAGCCATTCTTTATTTTAGCTTTTAAATTGTTAAGAGTTTAACTACCAGAGGTTTTGGCATATCAACCATTTATTTATTGGCTACCCCTCTGATTAATAACAACTGGTTCAGCTTAGGTTTAGCTGCATTGCAGCAAAGTCAGATATTGTTTGCTGAACTCTTCAGTCTTTTTGATGTTTTCATTCTCGAACGAACCTCCAAGGTTTGTCCAAAGATTAAATAAAACACCCCTTTAGCTTAGATCACTTTTGAAGGCATCTTTGAGGGGTATTTCAGTGGGCGGCTGGATATCAATGTCTAAATCTCTTCATATTTTTAGCTTATCTTGTTTCCTTTTTAAACCAGAGTTAATTTGTTACGATTTTTCCAATTCAGCGATCTGCTCATACACAGAGGCGTAGCCAGAAAAATTTTTATAAGGGTGGCCAGGCAATAATCAACGTACACTGAGGGGGGGCCAAAAGTAGATAGGCACCAAAACCTCACGGTCAATCTACACTGTTCCAACAGGAAAATTAATGATCGAAACATCCATATTTTCTAAATAAACACAAACTATACTTTCCCACAGCCTTTGCTAATAAATAGAGGAATATATTCAAACATCCGTGCTTTCTAAATAAAAGGTATAGTTGATAAAATTCTTGCAGGTTTGAGTTTTGGGCAAACATCTCTTCCATTGTCATTAATTACCTACTTTCATCAATAATCATTCTGCATAAAATTGATATTTACAAGTACTAATTTCTACATAAAATGATTATTTAATACGTTTTTATTAAAATAGTTATTTATTCATGATTTCACTGAAGACTCCTGAATGACTTGCAGAGATGCATCATTTTCATATTCCACTTGAGTTTATTACTGTTGCCACCATCTGTACTAGAGGGACATAAATGCTAGGGGTGGCCAATGATTGGCTATGGGTGGCCATGGCCACCCCTAGCCCCCCATCTAGCTCCGCCCCTGTTTAGAGCATAGAGCTAAAGCTTTAACAGTCTTTTTGTTATTGGAAGATGACAATGTAGTAAAATAAGTAGCTGCTTCCTTTAAAAAAAAAGAGGGTTTAGTCATAATAGTTTTACATTTGTGGATATAAAACATGGCCACCCTGGCCCCCCATCTAGCTCCGCCCCTGCTCATACCTCGGTCTCTGATTTGATCTTGTTCCACAGATCCAAACAGAGCTTGAAACGCATTTTACTGCTGTCATCATCTTCACAGCCGTGGGTGAAATAACTCTCTGTAAAGAATTTTTCCAGGATTAGATACCTTCCAAAATAAAAGAAAAAACAAGTCCATAGGACGAGCTGGAGGACTAGTTTTATTATTTCTCACCCAAATCAAAGGTCTTCTTCTTCTTCTTTTTAACGCTGGGCTTAAAGACGAAGCAGCCCTTTGTGGAAGACGTTATAAACACACAGTCAGTCTACAAACATGCAATAATAAAGCGATATTTAACCGTATTAAAGCTGAATGTTGTAAACATTGTTACCCTTGAGAAAGACGACGTCGCCATTGTTGAATAAAGCAGCAGAAACCCTCTGTGGAGTTAGCCTGACGGATGTTTTCTCACGTTTCAAAAACTCCGGCACTTCAGCGTGACGTAGCACCATCTTCCCGCCAATGTGACGTAACAAGGAGGAGGAGAATCATGGAGGGGAGGGCTCGGCGTATCATTAGTTAGTCCGTCTCTGATATACAACTAAGTTGTGTTTTCGGCAGGCAATAAATCGGTACTGAACGTACAGAAAATACACTTTATATAAACCATATAAAATTGTGAAAACCAAATCCACAGATAGAAGAGGACCGACGTTTTTACGTTGAAACGATACGTAGGCCGCCATGTTTTGAGAGGCAAGGTCTCATAAACCACAATAAGCCTGCTTGCAAACCTTGTTTTCGAAATAAAACATTTCATTTTACGATTTACGACTTAATCACGATTAATTTAATAATAAAAAAATACTTATTATAGTACAGCCAGACTGGATATGTAAAGAGAGGGAGATTGTTATTTAATTTAGTAAACAATTGATTTATAAAATCCTAACTAACCATAATATATTAGAAAAAGGCAAAGTAAAATTCAAAGCATATTTACAGGATTTACTATTACAAATATACTTAAGTTAACCTTAGTAGTATATTTAATCTAAGGTAATTAAATTACAACAGACTATGGGATTACCACCAGTCTAAGCAACAGAAATCTCAAAAACTACATTTGTCCACAAATAAAACGAATTAAAGTATTTTTATTATTTTGGATCTTTAAAATTCATCAAGTTTTCCCTTTTAACTACAATTTACAATTAAATCAATTTCCCTTTATGCATCAAATTTTAATTAGGTTTTCATTGTATTCCTCTTTCATTACTTTTGTATTTAGTCCTGTGGTTATACAGCATGTTTATTATGCTAGTATGACTGCAGTGCAACAGCTTTAGCAATTTTTTGACACAGTGAATGAACCTTTATAAATAGAATCCATTTAAACATAAGAAATACTGCTTTTATCATGAATAATTGGATATGAGTTGGCGCTTCTACAAATAAGTCGTGATTACACCTAAAAAAAAATAAAAATCTGAAACATAAGTAAGCCATGTTCTGTTGTTTTCAGATTGAGAAGAGGCTTTGGTTAACTGATTCATTTAAATAGCAAAGAAAATATTTTACGTTTTCGACTCAGTGTTTTACAAAAAAAACAGTAACATTTTATTGAACACTTTGTGGAAGACATGTAAATATTACAGATAGGTCTACTAGTGTTGAAAAAGGATGAAATAAATACAAACAGAACTTGAAATCCCATAGGGATATATTAAAAACATAGTTTTCTTTAAAAGTGTCCATTTAGCAAAAAAAAAAACTCAACAAAACAAAAAAATAAGAAAAACAGAAAAACATCTTCAGTACTAAGCATAAATACAAACATGTTTCTAAAATCTATGCCCTATAGATTACCTGGTTATTATAACTAACATACATACTTAAAATCATCCGAGACATTATTAATGAAGTATAAAATAGGCCTTTTCGTTGTCACCTGTGGTAATGACTGTTAACAGTTGGAAATCTGATGCTTTATGAAACAATCCATTCTGCAGCATAAAATCTCAAATCCTGAGTAATATTGAGTTAAAAACAAAACATCGGGCTATGACCTGCTATAAAGCCACCTCTTAATAATAACCATTGGCTTCATATATTGTAACTGCTTAAGTACAGAATCTGCACCTTCTGAAAATGTTTTATCCATAACAATTTTTACATTACTCACAGATTTAAGATTTAGTGGATTTCTGAAGTCTACAACATTGCTGCCGCATTTCAGTTCATGAGTCTTTTTGCTTTTAAATGCAGCTTTCCGTTTGTGAGTTTGTTTTCGTTTGGGGGGAACTTCTGCATTGGGTTTTTCGTTTAGTTTGCGTTTAGAAGCGTTTGTCGTCTCCGATGTTTCCAAAAGTGTAACGATTGAGTCCTCTAGTGTTGAAGGCTCGAGAGACCCCGGAGTAGCCCCTTCCTCCTGTGGCTCCTGGGGTGTTGGGGTCCCAGGATTTGAGTTCTCTGTTGAACTGTTAACAGTCAAGCGGTTTCTTAGGGTTTGCATCCTCTCTTGACAAGCTGGTGTGGGATGTGGAGGTTTTCTGGGACGCCCTCTTTTAGGGCCCCCCTCTGTCGCCATGGAAGCTTGAGATTCTACAGTATTGTCAGTTGACACCTTGTTTTCTTCTTCAGGTATGTTCTCTGCCACCAGCTCCTCCTCCTCTTCTTCCTTCTCCTCTTCCTCCTCGATTTTCTGCTCACATACTTGCTCACTAGGCTTTTCCCCTTCATCTGCTTCTGTCTCAGAGGAACTTGATGCACCTTCTGACTTGCTTGCATCTTTGAATCTAGAGCGAGAGTACTTTTTGCAGAAAATGAACTGACTCCTCTGGTCTTCGATGTATCTCTCTGTGAGGCCATGAGTTGCATAATGCTTAAATATACTCCTTTCAGCCCGCTCCACTGCATCACATCCTATGATCATGCACGGGTACTGCAGGGCGCACTTCTTGGTGCACATGGCCGATGCCTCTTCGTGGGATTTTAGTGTAGGCTTACCAAAACTGGTCCAGTGTTCAATGGCCTTCCCATCTTTCTTTTTAGTGTTCTTCTTTTTCATTTTGAATTTATTTTCAACATTTTCTTTACCATTGTTAATCCCTGGAAAGAGCCCAACTGATTTGGTCCGTCTCCCATCAGTTGCCTTGGGATCGTAGACGTAGTCGTGCTTTTTGATCAGGTGACGGAGCAGATTGGATTTTGTAGTGTACACGCGGTCGCATCCGTCGTACTCGCACCGGAATGTTGGATCGACCGAACCTCTCTCGGAAATAGCGATCTCCTTGTGGTAGTTCTTGATATGCTCGATGTACTTCTCCACGGAGTCGAAGGGGAGAGCACATTCAGGCCGATCACAGTTGAAAGTACCCAAGGCCATGCTGGCCATCATGGAAGTTGCTTTGTCGCAAGTGAACTTGTGAAGTAAGAGGTAATGTTGCACTAATCTTGTGACTCCCATGAACACTCTGGAGCAGTTTCTCACCTGGCACCTGACCTCGTCATCTTTTCCTATGCTGGGACTGATCTCCGTTTCAACCTCCATGAAAGTTTTCTCAGATTCAGACTCTGCTTTGGTGGGAGGGAGCGATGCCTGATGCATGGCCCTGTAATGGAGGATCAAATTCTGCTGGATGGTGAACGCTGCAGTGCATCCTTCATGAACACACCGATACGGTCTGTACGGGCTGAAGGCGTCTGTCTCACCCAATTTGAGGCTTACCCTTTTCGGTAACTTCTCCTTCCTTTCCTCCTTTGTCGGTGTGCTTTTGGAGCTGCTCGGCCTCTCTGGGGAAAGGCAGACAGATCCATTGGAGGACTTTGGTTCCTTTATTATATTCAAACATACGTCTGAATTTTCCTGCTGCCCATTTGCTTTGGTAACAGGACTCCGTTTCGCTTTAACACTGGAATTCGCTTTCTTTTTTGGACTTCTATGTACAACAGCCAATTTAGGACGCTCTGGAGTCAATTTAGGAGCCGGTGGTGCCACCTCCCCAAGCTGCCTTTCAGACAGATAATTTTGAGGTGATGGCAGACGAGTAACAGTTTTTATCTCGGGTACTGACACCTGTTTCACAGCATCTTCTGGAGGAATTTCAGTAACAAGTGGGGGATTTGCATACTCTGGTTGAGGTGCTATCGCAATGTCAAGCGGTTCTTGTTTTAAAGTAGGCATTACAGGTGCTGATGCTGCTGGGGGATTGGAATTGTGCTCAACTTTTGGTTGATTATTAATTGCGCCATCTTTGTTAAGTCTGAAGGCACGCCGATTCCGAGCACTGATTTTTAACTTCTGCATTTCCGCCTTTGATAGGCGGTGGACTTTTTCATAGTGAATTCTCAAGCCTGTTGTTCTGGTAAATGTTTTAGGGCAGATTTGACAAGGGTACGGAGACAGTTTGGATGGTGTTCTTTTGAGTTCGTCGATCATCTCATTAGAAAAATCATGCATTTTACTCAAATGTTTGAATAAGGCTTCCTTCGTCATGAATGAGAACTCACAGTCATCCTGTTGACATTTAAAAGGTTTGAGTACCTTTTCAATGGGCTTCTCATCACTTTTACTTTGTAATTTACTTTTACCTCTTTCTACTTCAGAAGGTTTTTCCTTCTTCTCTAAAGCCATAGCCTTCCTCATCTTCTCCTGTGCCGCCTCAATCAAATCCATCCTTTGGAACGCGCTGGAAATTTCCATTAGGTTATCTTCCCGATAAGGCCCGCCATGTGGGGGATTTGCCGTCTCTGCTGGTTTGTCCTGCTGGTTTTCGGGGCGAGTGGGGAAGGAACTCGAATCCTCCATTATGTTTGTATTTTGAGGCTCCTGTTTCAACATCGCTTGTGAAGTCAGGGGGATGAGGTTGCTGGATCCATCTGTGAAATCTCCGTTTGGCACGTTGTACACTGAGCCGTTAGTGTCAGGGACATGAGGATCATTGAGGAAATCCAGAAACGATGTAGGAAGGTCTGCTGTCAGGTCAATTTCATCCAACGGTCTGCACTGGGAGCGTTTCGAGAGATGACCACCAAGAGATTTGGTGCTTGTGAATTCTCTAAAACACCTCCTGCATATGACCTTGCCATCCTTGATAATTGCAGGCCACTTGGTACGCTTGCTCAGCCGGCTGCGTTTTCCTTTCACAATCTCGGGGTCTGCTGCCTTTTCCTCTGAAGGGGTAGCCTGGCAATCAGCATCGGCACACTCCTCTTCGTAAGGAAAATCATTGTGAGCGGTGTTCTGAGGACTGATCACACCGTCGACTGAATTGTCGATCTGTTCGTAACCATGGTTGGATGTGTTCTCAGTTTTAACAATTTCATCGGAATCCTTTAAGGGAATCTGAGGCTCAGGGCTCACGCATTTCATGGGGATGTCAACAGAAGAGCACTGAGTGAGACACGAGTTTTCACTCGGAGCATACGGAGTGTGGTAACTTCCATCAGGGAGCGTGTCGATGGTTGAGAGACTGTTTCCATTATCCAGGTGTCCTATCATACTTGCACTGCTTTTACTCACATCTGG